GGAGGCCCCCCGCCCCGCCGCTCCCCCCACCGAGTCCGGCGACAGGGCGGCGCAGAGGAGCAGCAGCAGCAGCAACGCTCCAAGGGCGCCGACGGGTGTTCTCGGAGCCCGCGTCCCCTGTCCGGCCATTGAGCACGCTGGAGCGAGACAACTGCGCTGCGACACAAAGACCAGATCGGGGTGAGTGCGCCTTTGCAAGCTGCGGACCATCCTCCTCATATGGCTTCGCCAAAAAGGCAACGCAGCAGCAAGCGCACCGAGTTCGTTGAGAGCCGACACTTTATTGCCGACGCGTACGTCATTTGCCTTTGATGACACAGGTGAACTTTTTCACGGAGCAGTTTTCAATGCGGAATAGAAGAACGTACTGAAAGCTTATTTCCCGGCGACTAAGCGACAAGAAAAACGAAGAAACACCAACTCACTAAACTTATCGGGGGCTACTTTGTTGGCTTTAAAATGAACAAGAGTCCCCAAAGTGGGCGAAGACCAAAGCACCTAATTGAGCTGACGTATTAGCTTCGCGGCCCCGTAGGGAAAGGACGTGTTCTTGTAATTCACCGGCGAGACTTTTGACACCAATTCACCGAATGTGTAGGCATGATTACCGAAGTTGGAGGTTTATCGCTGCTGAGGTGTCCCAACCTCAAAAAGTGAAAAAGTCGCCCGGGAAGCTGCGAAGAATTAAGGATTTTACCGGACATCCGGATCTTGCCGGTATCAAGTTTAGTGACCACGCGCTTCACTTTCCGTTCAATGAGTTTCAGAATAAAAGCTAAGAGTTTCCCAAGAGCATAGATAACCAGCAGATCAACAAATAAGCGTGTCACTTTTTTATTTTAATTTGCTAAGAAACGCTTACCTTCTGGCTTCCGACTCTCATTTCTAAGTGGTTTTTATTTGTTGCACTTTATTTCGTCCACTCAACGAAAAACTGACGTTTTTCCGGTGACGTTCGTCTCAAGTTTGATGCGTTCTTGTGCATTACGGAAAAAAAATCCCCACATATTTTGACAAACCGATAGGACCAAATGTTTTGATCGCATTCCAATATTTGGGAATCGTTTTAAATTGAAAAGTAAGACAATTATGTATTCAATAAGATTTGTTTCAGAATGTTGAATCATTGTTATTGAGCCTGTGGGGTGAAGGCTGGAGCGCATTGGGTCCTTGAACACATCTTTTCAAATGGCAATTTCTTCCGGGTGCGTGCGTGCAGGCAAAAATCACTACTCACCGCGCCAGACCGACGCACTCTCCGAACTCCCACACATTTGGGCTCGTTACAGTTTGGATTGAGACCACTTTGTACGAAACATTTGGGTGACATCGATCCGGCCCCGAAAGGCTCGTCACCTCCAGCGCTTTGACACGTTTTAGCGTGCCTCTAGCCGCGTTCGCGAGGCGTTCGCTTGACGTCACTTCCGCCATTTGAAATCCCCGGCCCAAAAACAACGCAAAGTTTACCAAAGCGCCATGGAGCTCCAAGGTAAGTCCACCGTGAGCATAACTGAACCCTTTTCGCACTGATCCTTATCCTTATTTTTCCTAGCGGTAGTTGGTTAGCTTCAAGGAGACATTATGCAGTTTTTTCACAATTTGAAAGAGTTCCCAGGCGTCTTAGTAACATCTCTCTGGGACGCTTTCATCAAAGTACCCCAAGGATCAAGAATCGCAGACATAGTTTCGCAGCACAGAAGCTCTATCATGTCAAAGCCACAAGGTAAGCAGAGCTGCAGCAGTGGTGGAGATTAGCGTTTGCAACTCTAGCTTCTGCAAATACTTTTACGAGAATGTGTATTGTTTGGCACAGATTTTTGTTAGCCATATTGGCGTCTGAATCCGATAATGTATTTAAAATGTTGTGAGGCAAAGTTGTTTGGCCACCGTTCTTGTTGATTAGCTTCACCAACATTAGCTTTTGAGAATATAACTGTGTCAAAGCCACAAGGTAAGCAGAGCTGCAGCAGTGTTGGAGATTAGCGTTAGCAACTCTAGCTTCTGCAAATACTTTTACAAGAATGTGTATTGTTTGGCACAGATTTTTGTTCGCCATATTGGCGTCTGAATCCGATAATGTATTTAAAATCTTGTGAGGCAAAGTTGTTTGGCCACCATACTTGTTGATTAGCTTCACCGACATTAGCTTTTGAGAATATAACTGTAAAGTTCCGCTAAGTAGTTTGACCATGACATGCACCACACCACCACATTAATTGCCAAGCGTGATCCAGTGGCTTGGTGCTGACAGGCCGTATCCACAAGCGGTGCCGTGATAAAATCAATGCATATTGGCGTCTGAATCCGATAATGTATTTAAAATCTTGTGAGGCAAAGTTGTTTGGCCACCATACTTGTTGATTAGCTTCACCGACATTAGCTTTTGAGAATATAACTGTAAAGTTCCGCTAAGTAGTTTGACCATGACATGCACCACACCACCACATTAATTGCCAAGCGTGATCCAATGGCTTGGTGCTGACAGGCCTTCTCCACAAGCGGTGCCGTGATAAAATCAATAAGCGCTCGCTTTAGCTTTGTGGCTCAGCGCTATGTGGCTATGTGGGGTGACGTAAGTCAGCGCCGCCCCTAAAACGGGCCAGTTCCACCATGGCAAGAAATGAGAATTTGAAAGTGAGTGTAAATTGCATGCGTCCTCACAGTGGGATCGGAACCCATGGCACTGGGCTCCCCGACCTCGCCCAAGTCCACCCACGGCGCTCAGTTTCTGCCGGGCTTCCTGATGGGCGACCTGCCTGCACCCGCCACTCCCCAGCCGCGCCCTTTCAGCATGACCGCGCCCCTTCTGGAGAGCTCCATCCTCAAAGGTGAGAGGGAAAGAGAGAGCGCGTGGGTGAGCAGGAGTACAAGAGACTGTGTCGTAGTAAGAGTCAGTATGTGTATGTGAGCATGTTCATGTCATGGAGTGTGTGTTCATGAATCTGAATCTGAGAGAGTGTTGGACTGATATCAAAATTGTAAGTAGTAGGCCAGCTTATTTTCCATTTGTGCACTTCCAACACCCTCGGTGGTTATTATTATTATTATAATAATATCTATATATATTTTTTTTTGTGCAGTTGAATTTGAATTGGGCATGTTTTGGCCTCCTCCGTTTAAGACCCACGCTAATTGCCAGATGAAGGGGAATGTAACCTGTTTGAGTTCCTCCACCAATTACCGTGATTCACAATCTGCGCCTGCTTTAGCAAGTGCCCCAAAATGCAGTGTTGGTAGCATTGTGAACCCCATAGACCAGGAGACTTTGTGCCGCCAAACCTATGGGACCACTTGACAACGTCCACTGGCAGAAACACAGAGTTAGAGAGTGTGCGTGTGTGTGTTTATAATCGTGTAGTGAGTTATTGCAAGAATGTGTGTGTGATTTGATGAGAGTGTTTCGCTGTGTGTGTGTGTGTGTGTGTGTGTGTGTGTGTGTGTGTGTGTGTGTGTGCGCGCTTGTGCGTCGATGAGGAGGCCCAGGAGGGTCCAGCCCGCAGCCGGTGGTCCCCACCCCCAAGGACAAGAGTGGCGCCCCGCCCGTGCGCAGCATCCATGACGGGCCGGTTACCGTCACAACGCCCCTCAGCGTACACAGACAGGTTGGCGGTGAAGCAGCATGTCGTTCCTTCCAATCACAGCCACTGTGTGCTCATGCGCGTGTGCTCTATTTGTGTGCACGTGCAGTCTTTCCCCAGCATGCAGTCTCCGGTGTCGGCACGCCAGGCGTCCACTTCAGGTATCCGATGACAATCCCATGCCTCCTCGTCCTTATCATCATCATCATCATCAGGCTGTGATCTCACATGTGCGATGATGTCACATACGTGCTTTCAGGCGTGCAGCAGCTGTGCCTGTCCCCCGCTCAGGTGGACCCTTTCTACAGTCAGGGAGAAGCTCTGTCCTCCGAGGACCTTCTGGACCAGACCTGGGTCACCGTCTTTGGGTCTGCAAAATAGTCACAACCAAAACACTCACCATCGTATTTGCGTACAGTGTGTCGTTCTTATTTTTCTTCTGCCTGTTATTTTGACGTCCATGTCAGCTTCCCGCCAGCGTCGGCTTCCTACATCCTGCTGCAGTTTGCTCAGTATGGAAACATCCTCAAACACACTGTAAGACACACCCACGTAGTTGAGCGGAACCTCTTGAGCTCGTAATACTAATCATGTTTGTGTCCGCGTGTAGATGGCGTCTCCCGGCAACTGGATGCATCTTCAGTATCAGTCCAGACTTCAGGCTCGTAAAGCGTTGTCCAAAGATGGCAAAGTCTTCGGAGACGCCATCATGGTGGGCGTCAAACCCTGCATAGACAAGGTCAGCACCC